CCCAAAAAACAAAACACATCTTGCGATTCTACTGAACTCCACTGAAGTTAGCGTTAATTGATCCAGTCTCTTGTCATACATCAGTCCTGCCATCCCATGAGTCAGTCTGGCAAATCTTCATTGCACTCCCTCCATAGCTAGAACATCCATCCTCAGACGAGACCAAAACTGCACACAATACTCCAGATGGGGTCTCGCCAAGACCCTGTATCACTGCAGCAAAATATCCCTGCTCCTGTATTCGGATTCTCTTGCTATGAAGGCAACGTACCAATTGCCTTCCTCACCACCTGCTACACCTGCATGCGTACTTTCAGTGACTGGTGTGCAAGGTCACCCAGGTGTTGTTGCAGCACCCCCTTTCCCAGTCTATTGTCATTAATGTGGTAATCTGCCTTCCTGGTTTTGCTGCTAAAGTGGATTACTTCATATTTATCCACATTATACTTCGTCTACCTACTCACTGAACTTGTCCAAATCACACCGAAGAATCTCTGCATCCTCCTCGCAGTTCACCCTCCCACTCAATGTTGTGTCATCTGCAAAGTGCAGATGTTACATTTTGTTCCCTCATCTAAATCATCAATATTATTGTGAATAGCTGGAGACCTAGCACTGATTCCTGCAGTAGCCTACTAGTCATGATTGCCTGCCAATCCCAAAAAAGATCCATTTATTCTTATTCTTTGCTTCCTGTCTGCCAACCACTTCTCCATTCATGTCAATACACTACTCCCAATACCATGCACTTTAATTTCACATGCTAATCTCTTATGTGGGCCTTTATAGAAAGCCTTCTGAAAGTCTAAATAAACCGTATTCACTCTTTCTTCCTTATCAACTCACCTCATCACATCCTCAAAAAATTTCCAGTAGATTCTTCAAAATAATTTCCATTTTAAAAATCCATGCTGATCTTTCAAATCCTGTCACTGTTTTCCAAGTGTTCTGCTATTAAATCTTTTATAATGAACTCCAGCAGTTTCTCCATTGCTGATATCAGCCTAACTGGTCTATAATTCCCTGTTTTCTCTCTACCTCCTTTTTGAAATAGTGGGTTACGTTAGCTACCCTGCAACCAGAGGAACTGTTCCAGAGTCTATAGAATCATGAACGATGACCACTGAAGCATTACTAAGGCCATTTCTTTAAGAATTCTGGGATATAGATGATCAGACCATGGGGATTTATTAGCTTTTAATCTAATCGGTTTCCAACATCGGTTCTGTACAAATGTTAATTTCTTTCAGTTCCTCCTCCTCACTTGACTATGTTCCCAATAGTTTTGGGATATTAGTTGTCTTCCTTTGTGAAGGCAGAACCAGAATATGTATTTAATTGGTTTGCCACCTGTATTGCCATTATAACTTCCCCTGTTTCTGATTGTAAGAGACCTATATTTGTCCTCGCTCATCTTTTTCTCCTCGCAAACCTATAAAGGCTTTTTACAACTAGTTTGTATGTTATCACAAGCTTATTCCTGTACTCTTATATTTCCCCCTTCTAATCAGTCCTATTATCCTCCTTTACTGAAATCTAAACGGCTCCCAATCCTCAGGTCTGCTGGGTTTTTTTTTTAAAACAATTTTTGTGTCCCTTTGTCGAATCTAATACTATCCAAATTTCCCTTGTTAGCCATGTCTGGGTCACCTTTTCCATTTTAATTTGTGCTTTACAGAAATGAATCGCTGTTGCAGTTGCATTATCCATCTTGTAAATATTTGCTTTTGCCTGTCCACCATTATCCATTTAAGTAACCTCTCTAATCTATAAAAGCTTGCGTCTCATGCCATCGTAGTTTCTTTTATTTAGATTCAGGACACAAGTCTCAGAATCAACTAGGACACTTTCAATCTTAATGAAGAATTCTATCATGTTCAGATTACTCTTACTCAAGGGGCCTTGCAGAGCTACATTGCCAATTATTCCTTTCTGATTACACATGATCCAGTCTAGGAAAGCCTATTCTCTCACTGGTTCCTCAACATATTGATACAGAAAACCTCCCCCTCTCACTGCAGGAATTTCTCCTGTACGGTATTGTTATTGATTTAGTTTGCCCAATCTATATGCAAATTAAAGTTATGCATAATTGCAGATGCACTTTTATTGTTTGTCTCCAATTTCCCATTGAATGCCTTCCCTATCATTGCCACTATAGTTTGGAGGCATATATTCAATCCCTACCAACGCTGTCTGTCCCTCGCTGTTTCTAAGCTCTGCCCATACAGTTCTACTTCAGAGTTAATAGCCTTCTTGTCTATTGTGTTAATTTATCTCTCTAACCAGCAATGCTAGCCCAACTCCTTATCCTTTTTCCTAATATTAGGTTCCCATCTCTGGTCACCCTGCAGCCACATCTCTGTAATTTATATCTATTTGTGCAACTGATTCATCCACTTGATTGCAAATGGTCTGTGTACAAGTTAGGAATGCTTTATCAGCAAACTTGGGACTAACTGATTTTGGATAATGGATATTTTTGGTTTTCATTCAGTACTGTTTGAAGTCTGTTTGGGCTCTTTGGAAAAAAGTTTTGCTTGGCCCAAATGAACCCAAGTGGACCTGTAGAAGCACAGTTCAGACCTTTGGGAGGGGGAAAAACTTTAGCTTTGTGTCAAAGCAAAGTATTTTTTTTTCCAGAAGGCCCAAACTCAACATGTCTACAGGTCTGTTCAGGTCCATTTGGATCCACTTTCAAGAAGATTTTCATTTATTAGGTCTCTTCAGTTTTCAGACTTGAGGCTAAAGAATATCTGGCCTGTGTTAAGACGCAAGTGCAAGTCCTTGAGGCTTGTCTTTTTAACATTCTTAGTCCCTTTTGCATTATTTTGCACTTGTTTGATTCTCGCCTTTGAATTCTCTATCACTTTTCTTATTTCCCAGTCTGTCCTTTGTTTTTGCCCTAATTTCCCCCTCTTCTGTCTCCCTGTATAGGTTCCATCTCCTTGCCACTTTAGTTTAAACCCTCCCCAACTGCACTAGCAAATACTTTCAGACCCAGTCCAGTATCCCAAGAATCTGAAGTCCTCCCCCTTGCACCTTCTCTCCAGCCACACATTTGTCTAATATATCCTGCCATTTCTACATCTGACTAGCATATGATACTGGTAGCAATCCTGAGATAACGACCTTTTGAGGCCCTACTTTTTAATTTGTTTCCTAACTCACCCTATGTTCTGCTTTTAAGATTTTTTTTTAATCCTGTGTTATTCGTACCATGTGTACTACAATCATGGACTGTTTACCCTCCGATTCCAAAATGTCCTATATTTGCTTGAAGACATCCTTGACCCTAATACCCATGACGCAACGTACTATCCTGGAGTCTTCTTTGCAGCCACAGAAACATCTATGTCTTCCCATTACAATTGAATTCACTATTAGTGTAGCCGTCCTACACTTATTTTTCCTGTCCTGGGCAGCACTGACGACTGTGGTGCAATGAATTTTCATGTTGCTGTTTGCCTCTGAGGGGCCATTGCCTCCTAATAGTATCCAAAGTTGTATATCTTTTTGCAGGGGAATGACCACAGGGGATTCCTGCATTTCCTGCCTGTGGTTATCGTTCCCTGCAGACTTATGTGTGTTAGCCTGCAGTGTGACCACCACTTTGTATGTGCGATCCATGTTAGTCTCAGCCTTGCGGATGCTCCACTGCATCTCCAGTCACTGGTCGAACTCTGAAACGTGGCCTTCAAGGAACTGTGATATGTCTGTACATGCTCTGATCCCTGACGCTGGCACTGTACTGGACTTCCCACATACAGCTTGAGGAGCACACTATAAGACACAGCAGAAATTAGGCCATTTGGCGTATCAAGTCTGCTCCGTCATTCAATCATGGCTGATAAGTTTCTCAACCCCATTCTCCCGCCTTCTCCCTGTAACTCTTGATCCCCTTGACAATCAAGAACTTATCTATCTCTTTCTTAGATATACCCAATGACCTGACCTCCATAGCCTTCTGTGGCAGTGAATTCCATAGATTCATTGCTGTCTTGCTGAAGAAGTTTCTCCTTGTCTCCATTCTAAAGGGTCTTCCCTTTACTGTAAGGCTGTGCCCTGGATCCCTAGTCTCTCCTACCAATGGAAACATCTTCCCAATATCCACTCTGTCCAGGCCATTCTGTATTCTATAAGTTTCAATAGATTCCCTCCGTCGAGTATAGACCCAGAGTCCTCAAACATTCCTCATATGTTAAGCCTTTCATACGTGAGATAATTTTTGTGAACCCCTCTGGACTGGCTCCAGGGCCAGTACATCTATCTTGAGGTATGGGGCCCAAAACACCACAGCCTTGAGCCATCCTTCTGTAACTTACCCTTTTTAAATTAAATCCTTAGATCGCCCTTAGAATAAACTAATATTAATTACCTAAGGCCCCTGTTCTTTGGACCTCTGAAACTATTGCCTTTATAAACAAAACTAAAAATAAAGACTTTTACAAACTATAAGTGATTAAAAATAGTATACTCTTCCCAGCCAGTTTCACTGTGGTGCTGCTGCAGGATGTTCTTCCCATACTCAAGATTTTTATTGATTCATATTTCAACATGTACAATCGTGGGATTCAAACCCGTGTTCACAGAACAATAGCTTAGGTCTCTGGATTTCTAGTCCAGCAACAATACCACTGCATCATTGCCACTCCCCTAAAGGAGTTGTGGCAACCTGATTTAAAGCAAAAGTTGTGGAAGTGCTCAGTATGTTTGGCAGAATCTGTGAAGGAAAAAAACAGAATTAACATTTCAAGTAGATTTCCTTGCATCATAATTTCTTGACATACTAACTCCATTTCTTCTCCTCAAACCTGCTGAGATTTTGCAATAACTGTTTTTGTTTCAGATTTCCAGAATCTACAGTATTTTTTAATTAACAAACTGCTGACGTACCACTCTGTTACCTTGATGGGTAATCAAGTGCTTCTTAGTCTTGCAACATTAGCTTTCCCTCAACCCAGACATACTGACAATAATTATGCCCATTAGTCCCTGGTTCAGATAGTATAGACAGGGAAACCTTCTGGTCTGTACAGTGCATCTACCTACTGAGCCACTTCTTTCAGTGAATGTATATATTACCTAAAATTTTTAAAGGGTTAGTTACTATGCAGATCCGTTCTGATGCCAAACAAAGCGATCATCATGGTGTACAAGAGCACAGATGTGGTTGTAAAAACTGAAAGAACTGCGGATGCTGTAAATCAGGAACAAAAACAGAAGTTGCTGGAAAAGCTTAGCAGGTTTGGTAGCATGTGTGAAGAAAAAAATCAAAGTTAACATTTAAGGTCCGGTGACCCTTCCTCAGAACTGATGGTAGCTGGGAAAATGTTAGTTTATATTGGAAAATAGGGAGGGGAATAGGGTAGGGAATAAACAATAGGATAAAGGATAGAGCCTGAAGAGAGAGGAGAAGTTAGAAAGACAGAATGGCAGCCATTGCACACTACCTATTGTCACTAACAGACCCCATTAACCGCTATTCACCCTCCTAGCCGGATCGTTATCAACTCCTTCTGGACCCGAAACGTTAACTCTGGTTTTTTTTTTTTTTTTTTTCACAGATGCTGCCAGAACAGATGTGATTGTAGTTACTCTATTTCCAGATTGAGTAGGAGACTGTTCAGATAAATCTTGAAATAATCCAAATATATTCATAAATCTGTTTTTGTATGCTCTTAGTTGACCACATTGGTGTACATTTTTTCATGCCAAGTAAATTTGATTCCTGGTGTCCACAAGTCCTTTCACAATTTCTTTACCTTGCTATTTGCTGACATTGTCAGTATCTAAAGCAACAAATGTTAGCCTTCATTTTTAAATACCCAGTTCTAATGTTACCCAAATTATTTAATAATTCAATGTATCTGTTATATATCAAGTGCAATAAATATTTAACGCATTGTTATTTTTGTACATGTACAGAGCAATCTACTTTGCTGCTTACTCCAAAGCTAAGGAGAAGTGTAATGCGATCTTCGTGCCACACTCTAATGTTGTTAATATGTGTTCTGCTGGTTTTGCAAGTAAGTACTAAATAATTATTAAGTATTAACTAAAATATTCATTTGGGAGTGAACACACAAAGGAGTTGAGTTTTATGCCCCTTGTATAATATAAGGAATAGGAGTAGGCCATTCAACCCTTTGAACACTCCCTGCCATTCATTGAGATCATGGCAGATTTTCTATTTCAACACTGTTTCCTACACTATCTCCATAGTTGTTGATTTTAAAATGTAAACATTTATCAACATCAGTTTTGATTATACTCAATGGCTGAGTCTCCATAGCCCTCTTGGGCAGTGCCCTCTGATTGAAAACAAAGATTCCTCGCCTCAGTCCTAAATGATCTGCCCCTTACTCTAAGACTATGAGCCATGGTTCTAGGCCCTCCTACCAGTGGAAATCTTTTTGTACCTATCTGGTCAATCTCTAAAAGCATTTTATACATTGAATAAGATCACCTCTTGTTCTTTAAACCTCAAGAATATAGGCCCACTCTATTAATATTTCCTCATAAGACCATCCTTTCAGCCCAAGAATTAGCTTGGTGAAACTTAGTTGCACTCACTCTGTGACAGGTACATCTTTCCATATTTAAGGAGATCAAAACTGCACTCAGTACTCAGTGTGGTGTCCCCAAGGTTGTATATAATTGCAGTAAGACATCTTTACACTGTACTTAAATCCTTTTGTAATAAAAGTGAGCATGCAATCTCAGTTCTTAATTGTTTGCTGTATTTGCACGTCTTCCCAGACCCCGTGTGTGTGTGCGTGCACAGTCTTATTTTCAATTTTAGAAGGGTGATTTCATTAATGTTTCCAACCTTTTAGGGGTAACAGGCAGGTAGATGGCAGTAAAATATTTTCAGTGGTCAAGGAAACTAGGACTGAGGGCATAGTCTTAAATATTAGAGCAAGACTTTTCAGTGAAATTTGGAAACACTTTATACATGAGTTTGGAGCTTTTTCTGCAAATGAAAATTGATGCTAGATCAATTATTAATTTTAATCTGAGATTAGTTATGAAAAATGTACAAATGATATTAAGAAAAATGGGTTAAGTTGGGTTTGCGGAGTTACTGTAGATCAATCATATCCTTATTGAATGATAGCCCCTCAAGCCCATTCTAAGTGGCTTATTCTTGTTTACATATCCCTTATCAAATTATTCAAATCTTATTTTTACTCCTCAGCAACAAATGAGTATTATGAATTGTATAACATCCTTATATAAAATGTAACCGCTATTAATGTATTTTATTAAAATGGTGGCCCCTGAAGCTGATGGACATACTTGCCCATTGCATTTGTGATAATATTTCAGAAAATGTGAAATAGAAATAAATACATGTGCCTCTTTTATATACCAGGCTTCATTACAAACACATTGATGAACCCAATTTGGTTGGTCAAAACAAGGATGCAGCTGGAAAGCAGGTAGGCTACACAAATGTATGTGTTTTAAGGTATTTGCAGTCATAGTAACAAGTATGAAATCCTTAATGCCTTTATCGATTCCTCACTATTTGCAGGAAGCGAGGTGAGAAAGCAACAAATGCTTTCCAGTGTGCAAAATACGTTTATCAAACTGAAGGATTCAAAGGTTTTTATAGAGGTTTGACTGCCTCGTATGCTGGGATCTCCGAGACTGTGATTCATTTTGTTATTTATGAAGCATTGAAGAAACATTTAGAGGAATGGAGATTCACTGTGAGGGAAAATGACAAGAACGCTTCGGACTTCCTAGGATTGATGATGGCAGCTGGCTTTTCTAAGACTTGCGCATCTTGTACTGCTTACCCTCATGGCAAGTCGTCTTTGTTCTTCTCCTTTGATTTGTTGAATACTGCCTTTAGTTCACTGATGTATGTCAGCAAATTGATTTTTAAAAAAAAAGTTATCTAAAATTCCGTTGATACTCCCAGATTTTCTAATTGTATTTTCCTCTGGAAACTGGATCCAATTTTCTATTATTTTACGGAAATTTTTGAGACCACTTTCCATGAAGGAATTTGAAATTCATTTTTAAGTATTTGTAGAACAAAGTTCTGTTAATTTTCGTTTTTTCCCGATTCATTTAATGGGAACGTAGTCGTGACCCTCTTATTGTGCTACACTGCTCTAAATTTGTGAATTCAGACCTATAGCTTTCAATTTCTGATGATCAAGTGAAGTGAAACTGCAATATTACAAATTACTTCATCAAAAGACCTAACTACAATTGTGTTTTGTTCTTTTGACTAATGGTGTTGCACAGTCATCTTTTGCAGAGGACTGCTTTGACCTGTTGTATTAATCGTAGTGTCATATGACTGTGATCACATTGTTTGAAATTCACAAAGAATATAAATGTTAAAATGACTTTATAAAAAAAAAAAGTCTAGTCCCAGCATGAAATAAAATGCAGGTGGCCATGAAGAGGTGGGGAGAGATTGGAGTCTGTTATGGTTGTATCCACTGGAGTTTAGAAGAACGAGGTGAGGGGGGAAGAAATCTCAGAAACCTGAAAATTATAATGGGACTAGATGGGTTAGGTGCAGGAAGGATGTTCCTGATGTTGTGGGAGTTCAAACCAGGGTCAAAGTTTAAGGATAAGTCCTTTAAGACCTTTATTGGAATTTATAAAATCATGGGGGTTATGGATAGAGTGAATAATCAAGGTCTTTTCCCCAGGCCAGAGGAGTCTAAAACTAGAAGGCATAGGTTTGAGGTGAGAAAGAAAAGATTTTAAAAAGGAACTGAATGGAGCTTCCAGAGGTTGTGGTGGAGGCTGATACAATTACAACATGTAAAAGGCATCTGGATGGCTATATGAATAGGAGGGCTTTAGAAGGATCTGGACCAAGTGCTGGCAAATGGAACTAGGTTAATTTAGGATATCTGATTGGACGAGTTGGACCAAAGGGTCTGTTTTCATGCTGTACATCTCTCTGACTCTATAACACTATATGAAAGGTATAGGAAAAAATATTTTGTGCTCAAATATTTTGTTCGACCTTATTATCCCTCTAATTTAGATTCACTTTATCACCTTCCTTGTCTTCTATGTAGTACTTAATTATTTCTTCCTTTTTTGTTAAATCTACCCTTCTCTAAAGAAACTATCCTTTCTTCTGAAGGCATTGGTTCCCATCAAGATCCATGGCTTCTTTGTGGCTGCAAGTAATTTCAGTTCCTCTGGCACATTTTCCCAACTAACTCCAGATAATTTCATGGTACTTGGAATGTTTTCACTTCCCTAAACCCAGTATTGTGCAATTATAAATGTGCACATACAAAATGATTTAACAATGCTGACTGCAGCTTTTAGTATTGGTAGAATGCAGTAAAATAAACAGTTGTTTGCTGTCACAACCTGTATTTCAACACTAGGTTTGTTCTCCTTTTATGATTCTGCTTTGGCAGGTTCATTTCAAGAATGATTGATAGAATTATATGATTCAAAGAAGGTTATTCAATTGTGCCTAGGCCAGTTCTTGGAAAAACCTATCCAATTATTCTAACACCCCTGCTCTTTGCCCACAGACCTTCAATTACCTTCTTTCAAAATAATGTAACCAATTCCCTTTTAAAAGTTACTATTGAATTTGCTTCCACCAATTTTTCAAACTCTGCACTTCAGATAATCATAATTCCATGCACAAAAATAACTTTCATCTCCTCTCTGGTTCTTTTGTCATCCTATCTTTATTTTCACTTTTTCATTCTGACTTTTACATCATCAATACATGATGTAGAATATTTATTGTGTGCCTAGAAAGAAGTTGAAAAGTGCTCTTGCACAAGCACGCACATTATAGTAGACCCCTAGTCGCTCAGAACTACTTGGAGCAGTACAAAGCCATTCCCACCAGGAAGGTGCTGGACTCGTGCTGAATTAACCCATCTATGGAGTTCAGTTATTGGCCTTTTAATCCTTTCTCTAAAATAGTTTTAAATAATGAGTTGGATTCTATGTACACTCACTATTCAGTGACTTTTTTTAAGAAAGTACACATGAAGATAGATCGCCATTTCCTTTGATAAAAGACTCACGGTCTAGACATATACCTGAACAATTGGTACTTGCTTAAAGAGCAGGATTGCTAATAGATTTTTATGGATCAGTTAATTATGCTGAGCACAGCATCAAAGTGAAAATTGAAGAAAATATGGTATTTTCATTTTTAAAATTTGTTTTTCAGAGGTAATAAGGACACGATTACGGGAGGAAGGCACAAAGTACAAATCATTTTTGCAAACTGCACGTCTAGTGGCAATAGAGGAAGGTTATTTTGCTTTTTATAGAGGACTACAAGCTCAGCTGATACGCCAGATTCCAAACACTGCAATAATGATGACTACGTACGAGCTGATTGTTCATGTTTTGGGATAGTGTTGGAAATAAAAGGACACTCAGCAATCAATGGATTCTGTTTTGTTGCACTGCAGTATCATAAAGAGCCACAAACTAAAGAAAAACAAGGGAAGTCACTGACCAGATTAGAGACTGTTCAAGTCAAGTACAGAGGTGAGATGTTCTCTCTGGATTTGAGCCAAGTGGGCACTCTGGGTGCTAGAACTGGCGTTAAGTTCCCTTGATGAACCAGGAATAAACTAGCAAGGATTCCTGTTGCTGATTGCTGTCTGGTGATTTCTACACAGTGTACTAAAGGGCATTCAACGATACCAAAACCATGATGTCCTCTGTGGATTGCTGCCACTAGAACAGACTCTCATATTGGAACACTTGGGGAAGTTTCTAGTTGGCAGGCACCGCCTGCAACTTTGTACCAAAGTAAGAGTGATCACTGACAGAAAACTGGCAAAACAAAAGAAACACACTTTCTCTGAAGCTAATCTGTGCAGTGATATCTAGGTATTGGTCTCTAGGCATCACTATTTATTTTTATGAAGTGAAGTTGCAAATTTCATTGTGATCCCATTTTTCTCATGGAATGCATAGGATTTTTCTTTTGGCCTTCTGAAAATCTTCAGAAGCTGTTTGAAGGGAATGTGTATATTTTGCAATGTGTGTGGTTTTTGTTGTGTTTAACTAATGTGTTTGTACTGAATGCAGTATGGAATATGTGCTGTGTGCAGTTACAGAAGAAAATGAGAGCAAATGTTAATTAATTTGATTTAGTATGTCTCTAACAAAATGTGGAAACTGGAAAATGTTATCCCTTCAGCTACAATAGTGTATTACAAGACTTGAAAGGAAAATGTACATCTTTTAGCATAAAAAACACAAATAATGCTGCCGTGCTAATTAGTCACTCTTAATTATTTTAGTTTACAACTGAGTCATCTAAGAGTGAAGTTTAGAACCTATTCCATTCAATGTGAAATCAGGATGTAATTGAACTCCAGACTTCAATACGTCATTTTTTTCTGATTACCAGCATCTGCAGTACTTCACATTTATTTTATTGAAAGCTTTGACAATTATTTCAATGTTCAATCAGCAGAAAGCTAATATTTACTGTTGAAATCTGCAGTGGTGATCATTTAAAAAATATGCCTATCTTACTTTTAATTTTAGATGTGTGCCTTATCAGGGTTGAAAAGCTAACATTGGTTTGGGATGAAATTTGTTTTCTATGATCAGTACTGCAGCTTTTAACATGACCTGGTAGTCAAACCTTTTGACATATATTTCCCACTCCATGCTGGTGGCCAAGTTATTTTTTTCCCCTAAGTATTTAAATGTTTTCATTTAATGTATCACTTTCACCTCCCCACAAATATAGTCAGTGCTAATGCCCTTCCGCAGCAATATATGAAGTTTTGATGGCAATGGATAGAAATGTTTTTTGGCTAACCTCAGAATTTAGGACAATGTTATTCGGAGATACTTTTTAAAGGAAATAAATATTAGTGACTTAGTCATGTTACATTTTTGCTTGTATTCAGCATGTTACTGTTAGATTTGTTTCTTTTCAAAATATACTGAATCTGTGCAAGAATTTCCATCTAAATAAATGCCTTTGTCCTAAATTTTCTACCAAGCATTTCAGTTATTGTGTTGGTGCAATTCGGGAGGAGGCTATAATTAATCTGAATACCAAAGGAACAGGTAGTAATTCATCTTGCTTTCTTCAGCCTCTTTGGTCGCAATCATCTATTTTAATTTTAAAATAACTTCTCGGCTACATCATTGACCAAAACAGCGCAACGTTTGTATTTTCAGTAAAAAGTGGGAGGGCTAAAGTCTTGAATCGCAGTTGAATTTTTTTGCCAACTTCTGCTGATTTTTGATTGCAAGTTGTATAAAATCTTCTCCTTATTGGTGAGTACCACATTTGGGTTTAACATGATTACCCTGATGGGAAATGAGTTTTATTTAATTGAGTTTTGCAGTGAGTGATGTTATCTTGTACCACGTCCATTGGTAGGAAGAAGAAATTATTGAAGTTGTAAAAAAATTGGAAATGCAATTTAGTTTGTCAATTAAAATGCAAACATAACCTCTCAGCTAATTGTAGGATTTTCAGATGTATTCTGCTAACGCTTTTGAAATTTTTCAGCTTTTTATAAATTCTTTGGAGATCAGTCAAATTATCCTGCCTTTTTAAGAAAAAGAAATAAGAATTTCGCTTAAAACATGTTGGCTGAACTATATAGGTGGATTGCACAGCAGTTTTAAATCCAACAATGCAAATCCTAATTTCATAAATTAGAATTTAGTAGTTTGGAATTCCTTAGACAAACCCATTTGATAGGATAATCCAAAGATCCATTCTAGATTAGACCCTTGGCTCAACATTAAATTTAACTGCAGTAATTTAGTCTAGATGTGTATTTTTTTCCTCTGTACCTGGGGTGTTACCTTAAACTTCTAAAAAGTTTGAAAGATGCGCTTGTTAAAGTTTATAAGGTTGTTTGGGACTGACTTTAGGGTAAATTAGCGGAATGAAAGTGCTCAAATGACTTGTACTGAATTCTGACTGACAACAAGCAGGTGGCTTGATTGATAAAGGTTAAAGTGGGTGTGGAGTGACCAGGTTGTTTTACTAGGAAGAAGGGCAAGATGTCCACACCTGTGGACAGTGCCAAGGGCATCTGTGAAACTGTCTATTTATAAAATACAGAGGTGTGGAATAACAAGAGATTGTGATTGTTAGTTATTTCACAGAAGAACCCCATCACTGAACCTGACACTTTGAAATATGGATGGAAGGATCAATAACATAATACTGAATTTAAAATGCAAAGAGTTTCCTGTGCATCAGGAATACTGGTGACTTCCATGAGATGGCATTGTGCACTTCAGGTTACTTTAATGGATTGCAATCAGTTGTCCATGTCAGGGTACTAATCTTCTGTGTGTGTCCAATGCAGGAATTAATGTGACTAGAGGAGGTGGAGTGCAGAGTTAAAGTAATATGATGCAATTGAGCAGTTACTTTTAGTTTTTAAGGTGACTCCTCAGTAAAGTGGGCACCTGGGTTCAATCTTTTGTCTTTTGATTTATTCTTGGCATCTGCAGTTAAATGCATTTGTGCCCACCACTTCCTCTGGAAGTTCATTTTACATACAAACCACTCTCTCTTTAAAAAAGGAATTGCCCCTCATTTCTTTTTAAAATCTTTCTCCTCTCACATTAAAAATATGCCCCCTAGTCTTGAAATTCCCCCACGTGAGGGAAAAGATACCTGCTAGTCACCTTATCTATACCTCTCATTATTTTATAAACCCCTAAGATCACCTCAGCCTCCTATACTCCAGTGAAAAAAGGTCCCAGCCTATCCAGCCTCTCCTTATAACTCAAACCCTCCATTTCTGGCAACGTCCTGGTAAATCTCTTCTTTTACCTAATGCTGGTATTTGATCAGTTGCTAATTTCTCAGCAGGCAAAAGCTCTGTGATAAAATAAAAATGACAAGGAACTAGATAGACTAGATATTTTAATTTCATGTTTGCAAGATTTTGTGTGTGCACGTATATTTGGATTATTTCTGATTTGTAATCTTTGTTATAGTTTTATGGATCCTCTCTGGTTGGACCAACGGTGCTTTCTAACCCCCAAACTTTGAACAGAATATGAACTGCATCCAACTCGGTGTATGGGCATTTTTGCAGTCCAGAAAATAATTTTCAATAGAAAAACCTAGAAAGTCACAAATCACCAAGGTAGCGAAATAGTGTTCATACATGCAACAGGAAATCACTGCACAATTATGTACATCATTTAGCAAATTGTTTCCTGTGGTTTAATGAAGCAGAGATATAGAAATACAAATCTCTGAGGAGGAGGAGATCTTAAATTCAGTGTAAATGCAAAGATTTACAAAGAAACAAAACTTCCTCTGAGTTTTTGACTTAAAACAAGAGGTTATTATTTTCCACACAAAATAATATCTTGGTTTTGTTTATAATGTTCCTTTTTTTTGCTAACTTTTCAATTGCTGGGCAAACATTACAAGCCCATTACAATCCCAGTCATTTCCCTGTCTGGCCACTTGGAACTTTATGGCTATGCAAGAGCAAGTAACTCGTACTTCCGGGAGGGAAAATACCCAAAATCTACTGGCTGCCTCCATCTGCTGGTCAAACCGGAAAACTTAGCTAAGCAGAGAACTGCAGATGCTGGAAATCTGAAACAAAAGCATGTTGCTGGAGAACCTCAGCAGGTCTGGCAGCATCTGTGAGGAGAAAACTGTCAATGTTTCAGGTCTGTTGACCTTCAGAATTGATTGAAGCTATGAAAAGATAGCATTTATGCTGAAGATTGGGAGTGGGGAGGGAGTGGTTGGGGAAGGGATGATAGATAGAGAGTATGCACAGCAGTTAGGTGGTTCCAATTGGGAACCATGCAGCCTTCAGGACTCAATATTGAGTTCAATAATTTTACTGCCTGTGCACCTATGTCCTTTACCCACTCTCATACCCCAGCCTTTGTCATCACTTAGTCTGCTTTCATCACAGCCAACCCATTTTCACCCATTAATGATCCTCATTAGCAGCTTTTCATAGAGTCATACAGCATGGAAACAGACTCTTCTAGCCAACTCGTCCATGTCAACCAGGTATCCTAAACTGAACTAGTTCCATCCGCCTGCGTTTGATCCATATCCCTCTAAACCTTTCTTATCCATGCACCTGTCCAAATGTCTTTTAATTGTGCCCATATCTACCACTTCCTCTGGCAGCTCGTTCCATACACACACCACCCTGTATGTGAAAAAAGTTGTCCCTTGGGTCCCTTTTAAATCTTTCCCCCCTCACCTCAAACCTATGCCTCTAGTTTTGGACTCCCCCACCTTGGAGAAAAGCTATTCACATTATCTACGCCCCTCATTATTTTATAAACCTCTAAGGTCACCCTCCAGCCTCCGAAGCTTGCTTTCTCTCTGACTCACCATTATCCATTTCTTTGTCTGTCCAATTGCTATCCTCTCTTGCTCTCTGGGCTCCATTTCCACCTATTGTTAACACCCTTCCCTCCCCATCCCTGGTCTTCAGCGTAAATCCCACCCTTTCCTAGCTACAATCAGTTCTGAAACAGGTTTACTGGACCCAAAACATTAACCTTGTTTTCTCTCAGAGGAGGTGCCGGTGTTGGACTGGGGTGGACAAGGTCAGAAGTCACATGACACCAGGGTTATAGTCCAACAGGTTTATTTGAAATCACAAATCTTTCACCTGACGAAGGAGCAGTGCTTCGAAAGCTTGTGATTTCTAATAAACTTATTGGATTTCTGACCCCATTTTCTCTGCACTGATGCTGCTCGGCCTCTGAGGTTCTCCAGCAATTTGTTCTTGTCAAAAACTTAACCATTTGATGTTAGACCTGCCACATTGAAGTGGAGACACTGATGAATTTATAGCTGTCTGAGAAGGTTTAATCTGAAATGCAATTGTGATGTATTGCTGGAAGCTTAAGTTGAATAAAGTCTGAAATTTGAAGTAGCAATGGTTTGTATTTTGGAAAATTGTCCTTTTTGTGCTCCTTTTGAAAGCAGACCTACGTAGGGTTAGATTATTAAGGTGCTTCTACAAATGGAGGAATGAGGCTGCGCAGCCTCAGTCTGTGATGATCAATTCCATTTAGTGTGTATCTCAATGAACCAATGTATTATTATAGTATTTATAACAAACTTGAGGGACGCCTCTGAATTAATTGTGTCCCATACCCAAGATTCATGTGGCACTATTGCAAAAAGTTATTCCCAGTGCTCTACCAATATGTATACCTCAATCAACAACACAAAAAAATTGCCAGGTCTTTGGCACTTTCCTGTTTGTAGGAGTTGACAGTCAAAGACAAGCTTTCGGAGCACTGCTCCTTTGTGATTTCAAGTAAATCTGTGGACGATAATCTGGTGTCATGTGACTTTTGATTTTGTCCACCCCAGTCCAACACTGGCACCTCCACATCATGTCAGAGATTACCGAGTGTGAATTGGCTTCTGCACCTCATATAACAGGGACTACACTTCACATGTACTGAATTTGTTTCAAAGTATTTTGAGATTGTAAAAAGCATGATATAAATGCAGGTCTTTCCTTGTCCTTTTGATTTAATAACTTTGGGCCATCTTTCAGCCTGTGAATTACACATTATCATGTTTCTGTTCTCAAGGCATAACAACATGGATTTTGCAGCCATCAACAAAGAGAAAGTGCTCATTATGTATCTTGAGGAAAGTTTCTCACAAAGATCTAGAGAACTCTTGCCCCGAGCATAGCACCAGTATCATCTACTGCTGCCTCCAGATAATCTCCAAGAATAATATAGTCTTCAAACAGACTGAGAAACTAATCCAATTAAAGAATTCAGTTGTGAAACCAAAATTAGAAACCAATGATTAATGTTCACTTCATTTCACCATCTGTGAAATGATTAAAAAGATTGAGACACGTTACATTGAAGTTTGGACGAGATTCACCAGGATGATCCCCACTAGGGATGGATTGACTAATGAGCAAAGGTTAAACAGGTAGCAACTCTACTAATTAGAATTTAGAAGAATGAGAGGTGATTTCATTGAAAAATAAG